ATTTTTTTGTGTTTGCTGTTTTTATTTTACTATAAAATTATGTGTGTTTTAGTAATAATATTTATTAATTCTAGAATAAATATTTTACTATTTAAAACTTTTATTTTATTATCTTAAAAACAGAAAATCAAAAACTAGAAACCAAAATCAAAAATCACCATTCATGATTTTTTAAAAACTAAAATATACTGCAAAATCAGAAACCAAAATCTAAAATGTAAAATCGAAAAACCAAAAACTAAAAACCAAAATCCAAAATCCAAAATCCAAAATCCAAAAACCAAACAAACAATCATCACCTAGATAAGCTGGGAAATTCACCGTAAAAGTCATCAAAACTGTAGTCCAGCACTATCGTTCGTAATAAATTAATATAATTTGGGACCCTCTCTTCCATTTAGAGGTTTTGCTAACTCGCAGCAATCCATTCTAAAACCCTACGCAAAAGCCTCCTCCTCCTCCGTTTCTGCATCTCTTCTTCTTCTTCCTCCATTGAAGCTTTTGCTTCGATTCAAAACCATGGCGGCCGTATCTCGAGGCCTCATCTCTCGCTTCACTCATCTCCTATCAATCCGTTCCACAACTCCTTCACCGTCGCAACCTCTCCCCCAATCCACCTTCTACCTCCTCCGACGATACACCTCCGATGCTACCGGATCCGATATCACCGAAGCTCCGACCCGAATCATCGAGGCGAAGCCCGGAGAGATGTCTCCGGAATCGCAAAGGACAGGGATCATCGCAGTGAAATGTGGGATGACTGCTCTGTGGGATAAATGGGGAGCTAGGGTTCCGGTTTCTATCCTCTGGGTTGATGATAACATCGTCTCTCAGGTTAAGACCGTTGAGAAAGAAGGCATCTTTGCTTTACAGGTAAAAAGAAAGATTCTTTCTTGATGGGTTTTGTGAATGAATCTCTAATGGTTTAGCGTGTTAAGTTTAGGTTGGGTGTGGGCATAAGAAACCGAAGCATTTGACGATGCCTGAGTTGGGACATTTTAGGGCGCAAGGTGTGCCGTTGAAGAGGAAGTTGAGGGAGTTTCCTGTGACGGAGGATGCTCTTCTTCCTGTGGGTACTGAGCTTGGTGTTAGGCATTTTGTGCCTGGGCAGTATGTTGATGTCACTGGTATCACTCGTGGGAAAGGTTTTCAGGTGAAACTGATTTTAAAGTTTTGATCTTTTTCTTTGTCTGACTTAGAAAACAGGATTGTTTAGGATAGGGAAGTAACAGTGTGGAGCAATGGAGTGTGGGAATGTAACAGTATTAGGATAGGTGAAATGCTCGAACCTGTTTTAAAGCTTTGATCTTTTCTTTGTATAGTCAAGTAACAATGTGGTAGATAGATAGTAATGGAGTGAGGGAGTGGAACAGTGCCTGGTGTATAGTAAGATGGGGAAAGGCTTTCTGGTGAGACTATACTCGAAAAGCTTTAAGGCTTTGATATTTTCGTTGACATAGAACAGAACTGTAAGGATAGGGAAGTAACCATGTGGTAGATAGATAGCAATGGAGTGAGGGGATGTAAGAGTGTTTGGTGTAGAGTGATGGATGTGTTGTTGATGTAATTTGCAGGGAGTAATGAAAAGATGGAAGTTCAAAGGAGGGCCAGCATCACATGGGTGTTCAAAAGCACATCGAAAAGGTGGTTCCACTGGTCAAAGAGATGATCCTGGAAAGGTACGTCTTTTGATTTTTTTCTCAAAAGCAGTTTAACAAGAACTGACTTGTGATAATACGGTGAGCAGGTGTTCAAGGGAAGAAAGATGCCTGGGAGAATGGGTGCGGACCAGAGGACAGTAAAGAACGTTTGGGTTTACAAGATTGATCCTGCCAGGAACCTCATCTGGGTCAAAGGACAAGTAAGTATCTAAATATTGCGTCTTCTTGGTAAAGGTGAAAAGATTGTGATTTTATGGATGTTGTTGCAGGTTCCTGGAGCAGAAGGGAACTTTGTGTTTATAAAAGATGCAGTCTACAAGAAGCCAGACATCTCAAAGCTTCCATTTCCAACGTACTTAGCAACAGAAGACGAGGATCCATCAGAATTACAACCCTTGGTCGCAGATCTAGGAGAAGTCGACCCATTTATGTTGGCAGAGTGATGATGAAAAAACAACATGATCTTGATTTTGGCTTGAGGAAGTGGAGAGTCACAAAACTAAAACTTTGGGAAAAATTGTATTTTTTTTTCTTATTTAGTTTGTTTGGATTGTATGAACCTAAAAAAAACGATGAACAGAGAGAGAGGAATTGAGTCTTTCTCCAACATTTGTTGAATCTCAGATATGCTTTATAGAGTTTGCAATAAGCATTAAGCAATGAAGAAACAGAGTTGAACTCATTTTCTTCAAAGTCAACAAGAATCAAGATCCAAATTTTAAGGCCTCTCTCTATATATAAAGTATACAACTTTCAATAAGAGAATACAGCTTTGCGTTCTCATCTATATCTCTCCAAGAACACAAACGCTTCTTTCACCTCTCTCTCTCCCATTTAGGGTTACCGTTAAAGAGAGAGAGAGAGAGTTCTTCCCAAATCTCATTGTCTTAGAGCGATGAATCAAGAACAGAGCCTGCATCAATGCGCAGCTTGCGGGGAACAAGAAGCCTTCTTAACCTACGCCGTCAACGCTCTCCGGCGACTCTGCACCGACTGTTTACTCAAGGAGCATCGTAACCTCTTCTGCCCTGTTTGTCTCCACGTCCACGTCACCTCCCCTCCTCCTCCAGAACAGAGCATCCTCTGCCTCAATTGCCCTTCCATCACCCACCTCGCTTGCTCCTCCTCCTCCTCCGCCGACGCCGATGAAGCTTCGTCCTTCACTTGCCCGCCCTGCTCTGATCCCAATTTCTCCTTCTTCCCCAAATCTCATCAGAACGGAGCAGAGACGGTTCTTGGCCAAGAATCTTCCAACGCTCTCGTCGCGGCGGCGAATATCTCGGCGGTTTTGATGAAGAACGCGGCGGCTGAGTTGAAGAAGGAAGCTCATGAGAAGATCTTCGCAGCTAAAGAGGCGAAGCAGAGAGCTAAAGAAGCGTTAGGGAATCTTCAGGAACTTGTTCGTAAGCAAAAAGCTTTGGAGAAGAGTAGTAACCCTAACCCTAATAAGAGGAAGAACAGTGACCGTTGATTCACAAAATCTCTCTCGGTACGTAGGGGTTTGGTTTGTATGATAGATCTCTCTTTTAGGGTTCAAGAAAAAAGACTACTCTTTTTTATTCATTTGCTTCTTTAAGTTCACAGAGAAAGGTGGAGACTTTGAGTTTAGGATTTTAGATTATGATTAGGTCTTTGTGTTTTTTTGTATAATGGTCTGTGAGATGCTGCAATGACAATTCATTCATGTTTATGGCTATGTCTTCAAAACCTATAAGATTTCTGTCTTGTTGTATTTGTTCACTGGTTTGATGATGTTTGAATGTATGGAGTTATGATGAAATAGGATGATGAACAAACATCTCTAAGAAAATGATATTTGCATTAATGTTTTTGGCTTGGAAAGTGTGATATGATCACAGTTTGGGGAAAAAAAGGTCTTTGTTTAGATTGGTTAATTAGTACTATATGTTAATCTATTTCTGCAACACGAAAAATGGAAAGAACAAGCACAGGAAACTCCAAAAGATAAGTTTTGCCATATTGATGAAAGAGCAAAACACCGGAACAAAAAGATCTGACAAGACAGGCTAAAGAGTAAAGACAGAGAGGGTTATTTAAGCTCCTTTTCATTATATAGCGACTCAAATGTAATAAATTCAAAATACACGCCCCTCATTTTGCAAATTTATTGAAAAAACGACGAGTCAGCCGAGAAACCCTAGAAATCGCCCGAGTCGAGTTAATTCGCTAACCTCACCCACCTCTATCTCGCCCCGTGACTCGTCCCTCGCCGCCTGCAATGTGTTTCAACTTCGCCTCATCTTCTCCACTCTGAAAAAAATCTCCGACTCACCAGCAAAAAAAGGTTGAATCTTTCTTCTTCTTCTTGATGTTCTTGTTTTTTTCTAGTTAGCTCTCATAAAGTTCGAAACTTTATTATGTAGAACTCATAAAGTTCGAAACTTTGTTCTTGTTTTTTTTTGTTAGAGCTCACCAAACATGTTTCTTGTTTAGTGGAACTGATAAAGTTTAAAACTTTTAATGTTAGTAGAAGTGATAAAGTTTGCATGGCTCCACCTGGATCAACGGGAGCAGTAGACCCAGGATGGGAGCACGGTGTTGCGTTAGATGACCGTAAGAAGAAGGTCAAATGCAACTACTGTGGGAAGATAGTTAGCGGAGGAATCTACAGATTAAAGCAACACTTAGCTAGAGTGTCAGGAGAAGTCACTTATTGTGATAAGTCTCCAGAGGAAGTGTCTTTAAAGATGAAGGAGATTCTGCAACGGTGTCGTTCCGTTAGAAAGTTGAGAGATAGCAGCAATGTAAATGGTCATGGTCATGATGATGATGTGGAGGAAGAGGAGGAAGAGAAGGGGAGATGTTTGTCTAGGAGAAGTAAAGGGAAGCAATCTTTTGGTCTTCTACGGTCTTCTTCTTCTTCTTCTTCAGGATATGTTGATCCTGGATGGGAACATGGTGTTGCTCAGGACGAGAGGAAGAAGAAGGTGAAGTGTAATTACTGTGGGAAGATTGTGAGTGGCGGTATTAACCGTTTTAAGCAGCATTTGGCGAGGATACCTGGAGAGGTTGCGCCGTGTAAAGCTGCTCCTGAGGAGGTTTATGTGAAGATTAAAGATAATATGAAATGGCATAGAGCTGGGAAGAGACAGAACGTGTCTGATGATGGTGGTGACGTGAGAGCTTTAACGAGGATCTCTCAGGATCCTGAGCGAGAGGAAGATGGGGAGGAGGAGGAAGAGGAGGAACATGACTTCTTTGGAAGGTTTAGTAAAGACAAAAGAACAAACACTAGATTTGTCTCTGAGGTAAGACCAAAGAGAGTGAAAGGGAACTCGTTTATGTCACCGTCTTCAAGCAGGCAGATAATAACATACACTGGTTGCTCAAACAGAGTTGTGTCGAGAAGAGAAGTTACTTCCTCTATCTCCAAGTTCTTCCACCATGTAGGAGTTCCAACAGAAGCAGCTAACTCTCTGTACTTTCAGAAGATGGTTGAACTGATTGGGATGTATGGAGAGGGGTACGTTGTGCCCTCGGGGCAGTTGTTTTCTGGTAGACTCTTACATGACGAGATATCGACTATTAAAGGCTACTTGAGAGAGTACAGATCTTCTTGGATGGTTACAGGTTGTTCTATACTTGCAGACACTTGGATCAACACAGAGGGGAAGACAATGATGAGTTTCCTGATCTCGTGCCCTCGAGGTGTTTACTTCCACTCCTCTATTGACGCTACTGATGTAACAGAAGATTCTTTAAGCCTTTTCAAGTACTTAGACAAACTAGTTGAAGACATTGGTGAGGAAAATGTGGTTCAGGTTATTACACAGAACACAACAATCTGTAGAAGTGCTGGAAAGTTACTTGAAGAGAAGAGAAAGAATCTTTACTGGTCTCCCTGCGCAATGCATTCCACAGAGCTAGTTCTTGAAGACATCTCAAAGCTTGAATATGTCTCTGAGTGTTTGGAGAAGAGCCAGAGAATCACAAGGTTCATCTACAATCAAACCTGGCTTCTCAATCTCATGAAAAACGAGTTCACACAAGGGTTGGATCTTCTCAGACCAGAAGCCACCCGCCACGCTTCCAGTTTCACCACTCTTCAAACTCTTATGGACCACAAGGCCAACCTCAGAGGATTGTTTCAGTCCAACAGCTGGATTCTCTCACAGACCGCAGCCAAGTCTGAAGAGGGAAGAGAAGTGGAGAAGCTGGTCTCAAGCGCTGCGTTCTGGAAGAAGGTTCAGTACGTTTTGAAGTCAGTTGATCCGGTGATGCAGGTGATACGCATGGTAGGTGATGCTGGCGAGAGACTGTCTTTACCATATGCTTATGGCTACATGTGCCGCGCCAAAATGGCTATAAAGTCTATTCATAACGATGATGCAAGAAAGTATGGACCGTTCTGGCGTGTGATAGATTACCATTGGAACTCATTGTTTCATCATCCTCTCTACGTTGCTGCTTATTTCTTCAACCCTGCTTACAGATACCGTCCTGATTTCATGGCGGTAGGTTAATGATTATTCGTTTATTCACAAACTTCTCTGCAAGTTGCCTTATGTTTTGCTTGTTATAATGTAGCATTCTGAGGTTGTGCGTGGAGTTAATGAATGTATTGTTCGGCTTGAGCCTGATAACATGAGAAGAATCACAGCATTGATGCAGGTTAGTTCAAACAAGATCACACATTGTTCTTTAGAACCTGTGGCTAAACCAAGGTTATGTTTGTTGTTATTTTTTTTTTATAGATTCCGGATTATACTTCTGCTAAAGGTGATTTTGGGACTGATATAGCGATTGGGACAAGAACAGAGCTTGATCCAGCAGCGTGGTGGCAACAGAATGGGATAAGCTGTTTGGAACTTCAGAGAGTAGCGGTTAGGATACTGAGTCACACTTGCTGCTCTATTGGCTGTGAGCCTAAGTTGAGTGTGTATGATCAAGTCAACGGTGAATGCCAAAGTCGTTTCGTGAGAAAGTCAAGGAGAGATGCGGCTTACGTTCATTACAACTTACGGCTTAGAGAGAAACAGCTGAAACGGCGGATGCATGATGATGGAGCACCACCGAGTCTTAACTATGTTTTGCTTGATAGGTTGCTTCCGGATTGGCTTGTGACTTCTGAGAAAGAAGAAGAGGTTCTTGAAAAACGCTAAAACTATAACGTTAATGTGATGTGATGTGATGATGATGATGAAGTTTGTGTGTTTAATTTGTGAAGGAGGAGACTTTGCAAGGTGATGACAGAGTAGAGAAGGAAGACTACGACGAAGAAGAGGAAGAGAATTGTTACGACGATCATGGTGAAGACAATCATGATGTTTATGATGATGATCTTAGCGACGACGATTAGTGTTTTTAAGCGTCCCTCTAACATGTAAGCTAAGGCAATGTGCATTCTGAATTTGACCGTTTTTATATATATCAGTTTAAAATTTGATAAAATTTGTTGGTTGGTTTATATAAATATTAGATTGTGATGAAAAAAAATTAAATAATTTTGATGGTAGTTGACTAAAAAGATTTGGTTGGGAGAGATAATTTGGTAACTATTCGAACAAATTCAAATATATTGTAAAATAAGGGGACCTAAAAACTAAATTAAAAAGAGTTGGCGCTGCGCTGTCTTAACGACCGAATATCTGTCTTTTTCAAATTAATTAAATTGAGTTTAAAGTGATATTTGAAATTAAAATAAAATAAAAAAGGTTTCACCTGACATAAGCTTTCTTCTCTTTCTGTTAAAAAAAAAAAAAAGCTTTCTTCTCTTTCCCTTGCCGTTGTTGGAACGCTCTGTGTTTCATTCTCCAAAGTCAGATTCTTCTTTGTATAATTATATTTATTTTGAATTTTCCTTTTTTGGAGATTAACTTCAGTATTTTGTCAAAATAGGGTTTTTCTTTGGATGTGGGGAAGCTATTCTCTTTAGGGTTTGCCGGCTGAGAGGAGACAATTCCGATTTGATTATCATCGGAATCTGAGTTTCTTCCGGCGACATGGCTTCGAATCTCCCGATGAGCCCTGAATTGGAACAGATCCATGGAGAAATCCGTGACCATTTCCGAGCCCTCGCGTATGCTTTTTTTTTCTCTATATATGTTTGATTGTAAGAGAGAGAGATAGGTTCTTTTTAGTGTAAACCAAAGATTCTCTTACAACATTATCTATGTTTTGTAGGAATGGGTTCCAGAGGTTGGATAAGATCAAGGATTCAACTAGACAAAGCAAGCAACTTGAGGAACTCACTGACAAGATGAGAGAATGTAAAAGGTATGTTTATGTATGCCCTTTTGTGTTTTTATTCTCGGCTTCTAAGTGTTTACATTTGTTGTGTGTGTGGAAAAGAAGTTAGTTGTTGTGTGCTTGAGTCATCTTCTGCCACTTAGTTTCATGTGACCAAGTTTGTAGTGCTTTTTTCATATTTGTAATGTTTATTTTTTCTTTTTTGAAATGGATGAGATGACATGTGACAGAAATTAATCTTTGAGACATGGTGTTCAATCGTCTATATTCATTTTTATTCTAATGTTGTAATTCATGTCAGGTTGGTTAAGGACTTTGACCGTGAACTCAAGGACGAGGAAGCTAGAAATTCTCCTGAAGTGAATAAACAATTGAACGATGAGAAACAATCTATGGTCAGTTCTGTCATCATTCTCTTGATGCAATTCATGGAATTTTTTCTTTAATATTACCACTCCTTAGAGTTCAGTTTGGTCAATTTAGTTGCATTTGTAACCAATTGGATATTTGAGTATCATTGTGTATCTATAGGTCACCTTGCTCTTTGAGTCTGTTACTATTTTGATCATATCTATTTTTTGATGTCTGCTTTGTAATTTTTTCCCTTTTGTTTGTAATGTCACAGATTAAGGAACTCAACTCTTATGTTGCACTAAGAAAAACGTAAGTGCTTCTATCATTTCTCTTTTGGGTTTAGCTACATATTGTATCCGTTCAGCACATGTCTGTTTCTAGGACTTCTATTGGTTTATGTGTTCATACATGTTAACTTTGTTCTGTGACTTCAGGTATATGAGTACCCTTGGCAACAAGAAAGTTGAGCTTTTTGATATGGGAGCTGGACCCAGCGCTGAACCTACAGCTGAAGAAAATGTTCAAGTTGCATCAGGTCAGTCCCTATGCCATCTTTTCTATGCTACCAAGAAATGAATTGTCCCAACACATCAAGAGACTGACATGTCTGAAGCTTAAACTCCTTGATGCTATATTTACTTAAACATGATGGGCTAGTTATTTATGCTCTATGGTTAATGGTATGGTATAGTTTTCTGATGTATGTAAGTAAATTCTGGTGAACAATAATGAGAAAACTGGCGTGGAGCTAATGTAGTTTTTATGTATAGAAATGTCAAACCAGGAGCTTGTTGACGCTGGAATGAAAAGAATGGATGAGACTGATCAGGCCATTGAGCGATCAAAACAGGTAAGTTACAGAAAATAAGTGTGTTCCTTTCATCCGTTGATACTATATCTTTGTTCCACCTTTCAGGTTGTAGAGCAAACAATCGAAGTTGGAACTCAAACTGCAGCTAACTTAAAGGGACAGGTAAAATGCAAAGCATCCTATTAATCTTGCCGCACAGACTCACTCAATTAGTCTAAAAATTGTTGCAGACGGATCAAATGGGTCGTGTGGTTAACCACTTGGACACCATTCAGTTCTCTCTCAAGAAGGCTTCTCAACTAGTGAAAGAGATAGGAAGACAGGTTACAACTTGATACTAACATATATTTATTTCTCTTCTTACTTGATTGCAGAAGCGCTGAATCTCTTATGTCTACTTATGTTTCATTTCAGGTGGCTACTGATAAATGCATAATGATGTTTCTGTTTCTCATTGTATGTGGTGTTGTAGCCATTATCGTAGTGAAGGTACTATCTTTGCTCATTCCAGTGAAAGTTGTGATTGGTCATTAGAAAGTTGTAACTCTGTTTTTTTTTTTGTATGAACTCTCTACAGATTGTACACCCGAATAACAAAGACATTAGGGACATCCCAGGGTTAGCTCCTCCAGCGCCATCGAGGAAGCTACTGTACTTGAGGAATCCAGAGTACATGCAAAGATAGAAATGTCTGTCTGTATATTTATTTATTCACGTGGTGTGATGTAATTGCATCTTGAGGTTTGATAATTCATCTTGCTTATTCATTTGTTTACACTCCATGAATGAGAGAGACAGAGGAGAGATTGTGTGCTTTGATAGTCATTTGAATCTTGATTTTGATTGGAGAGGGTTTGTATATGTCATCTTCTGGTAGTAACTTAATCACATGTTTTTGTATAAAATCCAGACCATGATGTTATACTCGCTCTCACGTTCTCATTAGTGACTTATCACAGCTGTAGAAAGAAAGATCATGGTGAAGGACCACTACTAATACATGCGTGCCACATCTGAGTCTTGTAGTTAAATGTGCAACTGTTTTTCGTTTCATAATAGACAGCTCTTGAAGAGTTGATTCTCATCTCACCCAACTAAACTTAGCATAACCACCAGGAAGAGAAACTCAAATAGCAATATACAAATTGATTCCTATATTAACGAAAATGGAGATGGTGGAAAAGAATAAAGACCACAAGAATATATATATATAGCTCTAACTGTCAATTCATTACAAACGAATTTGTGACCCTTTTAACGTTTTTAAGCTAATCACCGATCATACTACTATTACTCAGCTATCTATTTCTTAATAAAGTTGCAAATTTTGAAAGAGAAGTACAACATTTTTCACCTGAGACACGGTCTCGGATGATGCTGCTGCACCTTTTCTTTTGGTTTCTTATATTTCCTTTTTACGTAGCAAAGAAGAAGAAAACGAATTGAGAATAGAAGTAAAACCTCTCTATCATAAGTTTTTACCAGGCATCTTAAACGGCGTGATTTCCGAGCTGCGTCCGACCAATATGAGATAACCGGGAAGTAATCAAAGGGGCTTCCTCGTCGTTTATCTCGGCTCCTACCCCTAGGCTCCCTCCACCCACATCTGGATTGAATTTATCTGAAGACTTCTTCTCCATCTTCAACTCCTATATAATTGCTTGTGTTCATCAGTTTATTACATTTACACACATACAAAAAGGTAACTGGTTCAACAAATATTTCGGAAGTTTAAGATTCTTTTTTTGCCTTTAGAACCCTATATGTCTGCAGGAAGTGTGATAAAATTACTATGGGAGCCTGTCGGGTCCCTTACACAGGTTATAAACTCAATGCACCTTGGGTTTGAAAGCATCTGTAACAAGCCTGAGATGAACCGGGCTCTGATAAAGAGTAACTGACTGACCTTATTGATTCGATCTGGGAGACTATCAGCGATTGGTTGAGACGCCTTCACGTCCTTCACTTTTATGTAATTGTACATGACGACGCCACAAAGTGCTGTGTCAAACACATTGCAAGAATAGACAGTTAAAACATTGCATACTGTTCAAGGAGGAAAAGCAAATGTGCACAACTATTTACAAGAAAAGGAACCTACCAATTGCGTATCCAATGATGTTCAGCCCAGTGATCGTGGACTCGGGGAAAATGACTGTGGAGAGGGCTATGAGAATCCAGTCTTTGAGAACACCAGCAACCCGGATTGTTACTGCACCTGTTCTCCCTATTACTAAGAATATGGAGAAGTTCAAGGCAAGAGCACATAGAGCATTGGAGAAAAAAATCCAGAAGTTGAACTGGATCTGTGAAACTTCCATCGTGGGTTTCTCCAACACATACCAAGGGAAGGCCAGAAAAACAAAACTGCACAAGATTAAAGCATAGCGTTTCAAGGAGAAGATTATGTGTACTAATGAGTAGTAGAGGAGTAGAACTTTACACCTATGCACTAGCAATATATAATACATGACGTTAACAATGAGAGAAAATCCAAACGGGAACCAAAGATTAGGTGTTGAAACATCATATTATACAAATATAATTGTTTGAGCACAATCAAGAATTAGGAGGTGAATACCTGCAGGGAGCTATGTAATATAAGCTGTTAATAGGGTTTAACGTCAAGCCCTTCTTCTGGAGGAGAACTTGAGTTAGCACCAGTCTAAGTGCTTCAGCAAATATGCCTGTCACCTGATAGACCGTGCCAACTATATTGAAATGGATTTCCCCATAAGAAGATATCACAACTCCAACACTGACCAGCAACATGTTCGAGAACACGTCGCACCTTGGTTTCTCAGTGCCGCAAATAACTGCCATGATAAATGTTGCTACAGGCACTGAAATTCCAAAATCATGTATTAATATCTTCGTACAGTGAACGGAAGTCTCTACTAAATTAGATTCTGTAGCAAAAAAAAATGTGAATGCTTCACATACTTAGAGCTTTGAGCATCTGAATGAAGGCAACAGAAATGTGCAAGTATGCGGTATTGCCAAACCTGCACAACGGAGGATATAAGATAAGATATCAAGAAGAAGAGCATCAACAAAACCAATAGTGTTTACTATGTATAAAAGAGGAACCTTACCACAGGCTTGATGCAAAGAATGCGCTTATAGGTACCACACATGTTGCGTATCTGGTGGACACAAAAAGTGTGTCAAAACAGAGAGGTGGTGGAACTTTGCGTATGAGATGAAGAAACTAAAAGATACTGAATAAGCTGACTTACATTTCGAATGTCATTTTAACCGGAGCTACAACCTAAACACACAAAAGCCAAACTTATCAACGCACAAGAAAAAAAGGAGTCCAAGGGTCCATAGAAGATATGATATCTTTAAACAGAACACCACATATGATTTGCATAAGCATACTCCATCCAAATGAAGAAGATAAAAACATTCTAATGCAAGTAAGCATAACCCAAGATGAAAGCAATATTCTTTGAGTTAAAGAATACCTTGAAGACGCGAATAAGAAGGAAGGCCACGAAGCCAGAAAACCCCATATGGATCATCGTCAGCGTTATAGGAAGTGGAAAATTGAAGTACTTTGGTGATAAAACCCACTGCAAATTAAAAAGCAATAAAAAGAAACATGATTTACAATTAATCCTTTACTGTAACAAAAAGCTACAACAAGATACCTCTATTAGCCTACAGTCACACTTTCCATATCTCTATCTGATACTTAACATCACAACACTACAAACAAACAAAAACTCCTCTGCCTACAGTTTCATCTCTATCAATAAAGTTGTAATAGAAAATTGAAACCACTCACTTTGTTGTAGAGAATGACTCCTGAAGAGAGTACAATGTAAATGAGTAAGTATATATAAGTCAGTACAAGCGTCTTGTTTATCATCTTCCTTGTTCTTTGATACTCACTTTCCTCTCACTGCACCCCAACTGTCCCCTGGTGCAAAGCTCATTTACTGAACCCACCAAAAAAAAAGACAAAGCAAATCAAACCAAAACATCAAAGCCAACAATTGAGAATGAGATAACCCTAATTATATACTCCTGTTTCACTTTATTTGTCATTCTAATTTTTACACACAGATTAAGTAAACATTTAATTTTACATATTTTCAAGATAAAAACACAATTAACTATACACCTAACCACTTTCCAACCAATAGAAAAATAGAATATCATATATAAAACTAATAAATTTTACATTAAAACTCTAAAACAATACTTATTTTGAAACGATATTTTTTCGCGAAATTCAATAGTAAGGAGGACTAATACGAAAACTATAAAACCTAAATCCACAGATTACGATCTCAGGGGAAAAAAAAAACGCGAATTGAATCAGATCCTTTTAGTACCTCGAGATCATCACAAATTCAAGCTCAGCGTAACAAACTATCTGACGGAATCTGAGGATGAGACGAAGACGACGATCAGAGCCTTTTATGGGAATCAACGAAGGATTTTTATTTAAATGGAAAGAACATAGACCAAGTGTGAGAGAGCTCTAGTAAGAGGGGCTTGGAAACTTGAAATTGATAATTGTATTTTTAAAATGTGACGGTGGAGATAAATGGGATAATCAGCTGAATCTGGATCGCACGGCTACGGTTTTATCGCAGGGGATGTGGAGACGACCCGCCAAGAAAGTTAGAAGGTTTGGGTTTGGTGGGCTTAATTTTTATACCTGCTCCATTGTAGGCCCATTATGAGAGATAAAATTTGATATATGCGATAATTGATGTATATTATTATTTTTTATTTAAACGTGAGGGTTTGGGAGGTTTTAATATATTTAATTTTAAGAATAACCAAGTGAATGTGATATACTAACCAACGTATAAATAGGGGTCTTATTCTATTAGTTGGGATTACTAATCGATTTTTGTCGGCGATAAGATATTCTTGATCTTGTCAACTCATTTTCCTTTCACACAACCGATAAATTAACTCATATATAACATGTCTATATAACTACAATCCATTCCATATCAAACATGTAAAGATACCTTGGGGCTAGAACCTTTAAAAACAACTCAAACTTGAGGTTTTGTTGTTAGTCGACACTGATGATACTATATATATCTACAGTCTCATTTTGCTCTAAAATAAATAATACTAAAACGTCTATCAATATACTTGTGTGAAGAACTAAACATGATAAACACACACACACAAACACTATACAAGAAAGAGACATTATATACAATGTTATGAGCAGCGACTCTGTACGTATAGGCTAGTAGTAGCCATTTGTGTGTATTATCATCGCACCCTGCTGATTGCGTTTATCATTTAGTTTACACAGTTATCTCTCGTTGTTGGTTCATTGAAGTTGACGTATAAGTTGCGAAATTAGCTACTTAACGTCGTACGCGATTATGAACATCAGGGCTAATTGTGAGTTGTTTATAACTCATAAACGTTTACAATTGATGTCATAAGATTTTGTAACTGTTATTGATATACCATATAAAATAATTGGTGGTATATACTAATTAAAACCAAACTTTATTTTCTGAAAGGACAAAAATCAAACGTTTTTGAAAAGGCAAAAACAAAACTTTTGAATATTTAACTTCTATATATGACTCAAGTAACTAAGTTAAGTAACTATCTGTAACATATCTAGATCCCCAAACGATTTATATTGGTAATTGTTATAGCTTATCAACGATGTATATATTATATGGGTTA